ATCCATCCATCCATCCATCCATCCCTAACTTGTGCGGACACCGGGAATTGCCCTAACCCATCCACATTCACCACTTTGCCCTTGGCCTTGTAGGACCTCCTGATGTTCCCCTGGCCACACTCCTTGAGCTTCTCCAGGCCCCTCTGGATGCTCCATCCCTTCCCTCCAGCATGTGACTGCACCACACAACTTGGTGCCATCAGTAATTAACAGTTAATTGTGTGTGTGTTACATGTTACTCCATTTGTTTCCTGAGCTGAGCTAACAAAAGCAGGTTTGGGGAGATAAATTACTCTGTAAGTCTGAATTTCCTCCTTGTTTCCAGTTTCTTCCCTTGCCCTACCCTGGTTTATGATGGGATTAGGGCAGGATTTTCCCTGGGCTGGAAAACACCAGTGACTTCATTCCTTGTCAGGCTGCCTGGGGTGGGGCAGGGATGATCTGATGGGGAAGGAACACTGGGAAGAATTGGGGAGAGCCCTCAAGGCTCAGAGCAAACCTCATGGAGGTATTGACTGAGGCTCAGTGGTAAGAAAGGATAATCTGCGGCTGTGCAAGTTCCCAAAACCCTGTGGTTCCTGTGGGTTTTTAATGGACGTGAAACACTAAGTGAGGAGCCCTTGGTGGAGTTTGAGTGTTGGCAGAGCCTGTGCTCCAAGGTGCGTTTGAGGATGGAGCAGAGGAATGACTGCTGCCATCCACAGGTGGTTTCTGGAGGCAGGGAGCTCACCTTGATGCATACAGGGAATTCCACAGGGCAAACCCAAATGATTTGGCCTCAGATCCTGGGCTTGGACTTGGCAGCGCAAGCAGGATCCAACCAAAGGCTCCTCTGTGTGAGGAATTCCCTTGGATTGAATTGTCTCTTCCTCTCCCACCAGCCATGGACACGGACTTCCCGCTACACGCTCCACATTCCTCTGTCCAGGAGTCTGGAAGTTGTGTAGCAGCACAGTGTGTCTGGCTGCCCAGCCAGCAGTATTCCTGGGTGCTGGAGTGGGAGACTGAGTCCAGGGACTCACCTGTGTGTTGCAGATCCCCCTCAGTGTCACCCATGGCTGCTCAGAGCTGGTCTCTGAGGTGTGCTGAGATTCCAAGCTGGAAATACATGCCCCACTGTGCTTAAACAGCATCAACCCCTTACACACTTCTTCTTCCCAGCACTGCCATCCTGATTCCAGCAGCTCCATTGCTGGTCTGTGCTGTTTTCCAAGTGTTGACAGGTTCTATCACCTCAGGCCTGGTGGGTGGCCAGAGCTGCTGCTGGTGTGGGAGTATCCAGCATGTCGCCACAGAGTTGTGACATCCACTGAGGGATTTTGGCAGTTCCCAACAAGTAGCTGCAGCTCCTGCCTCATAGCCTGCAGGTAAAGAGAGTGTGAGGGCAGAGGTGGAGGGAACAGCTGGGGCACAGGGAGAAGGTGCCACAGGAAGGGCTTCAGCCCCAAGTCTTTCAGGGCTTGAGAAGGGGGATAGCAGCTTGGTCCAGTTCCTAAGGGTCTTGGAAAGATAACTTTGGAGCAGGTGTCTCCCATTCCAAGACTGGTTTCTCCACTGCCTGACTACTCTGATATTTCCATGACTGCTTTTGGGTCCCAAATAGATGGAATTTCATCTTTATCTCATCCTGTGGTAGCAAACTGGGGCCATGAGGTCTCTGCAAGCAAAGTCCTGGTGGGGTGGCCAATGCTTCCCTGATCCTGAGCAGGAGAATTCCTCTTGCTCTCAGGTACCTGCCTGTGCTGGGCACTGGTGAGGTCACACCCTGAATCCTGGGGGCAATTTTGGGCTCCTCACAACAGGAAGGACATTGAGGGACTGGAGTGTGTCCAGGGAAGAGAATGGGGCTGGGGAAGGGTCTGGAGCACCAGGTGGGGCTGAGGGAGCTGAGGGGCCTCAGCCTGGAGAAAAGGAAGCTCAGGGTGATCTTCTGGCTCTCCACAACTCTGACAGGAGGTGCAGCCAGGTGGGGTTCAGGCTCTGCTCCCAGGGAACAAGGGACAGCACAAGGGGAAAATGCCTCAAAACAAGGGACAGCACAAGGGGAAAATGCTTCAAGCACCAGGGGAGGTTCAGGTTAGATATTGGGAAAATTCCTCCTGGAAAGGGTTGTCCAGCCCTGGCACAGGCTGCCCAGGGCAGGGGGGAGTCTCCATCCCTGGAGGGATTTAACAGCCATTGGATGTGGCACTTGGGGACATGGTTAGTGGTGGCCTTGGCAGTGATGGAGATCGGTTGTAGCTGATGATCCTGGAGGCCTTTTCCACCTTCAGTGACCATGTGATCCACTGATTCCATCGGTGCTGCCTAAGCAGCTGCAGTGTGACAGCCGTGAGGGTTGGCAGAATTTAGGGCTGACTGCTGGAAGGTTTGAAACAGCTCTGAGTGACAACATCCCACTGTGCTGGGCACAGTGTGTGGGAGCAGGGAGCTGTGTGGGAGCAGGGAGCTGTTCAGAGCCAGCCAGGGAGGGGGGGACATTGAGGGCACTCAGCCTGCTCTTCCCAGGGAAAAGGGGAGCTGAGGGGGATAGAGCTGCAGAAGATAAACCCCTGAACATCTGAACCTGTGCCATTTGGAGGACATGTCTCGGTGAGGTGCTCACCAGAGTGGTGTTCCTGTCACTACAATGCCCACAGGGGCATAACCCTTTGTTGGAGGGAAAATTTCTCTCTGGCTGAGGCAGAACAGCTTCTCGGCCCTGAGTTCTGATCTGCATTCCTTTTAGCCATGTTCAATATTTGCTGTTCTATTCACTCTGCTTTAGGCTTTAGGCACTGGGGAGTTCACTCTGATGGATGGTTTGGGAATTGCCTGTGGAGAGATGGCTTGTTGCTACAAAAGGCATTTTCTATTCTTGGATGTAAAAAACCCCGCTTTGATAAGTTCTTTGTGATTCCAAGCAGCCCTTCCATGATTTGTATTGATTAAAAAAACATCCTGACTCAGATTTTAATGGAAACAAACACCTTGATGAGGCTGAGGCTGATAATGAGCTGCACTGATGAAGGAATTAATTTCCTGCCTGATCAAAACAAGGTTTATACCTTGTGCCCAGATCTCTGCTCCAGTGCACAGTGTTGGTGATAAGGTTTTTTGCCCTGAATGTGGTCTGTTGGAGGTGAACTTGGAAGAGGGGACAGGGAGGGCTGTTTGGGGACAGGAGAAGCAGCAGCTGTAGCAGGGCTACACTTCAAACACACCAACGCCGCTGGCAGTGGGAGAATGGACTGGGAATGGGGTGGGTGGCTGTTGTCCCCCTGCCAGTTGGAGTAGAAAGATGACTGTGAATTAGAGGAGAGTAGGACAATGCTGGGAAGTGGAAATTGCTCAGAACCTCCATGACAGTGCTGTTCAGCACCAAAGGCTCTGGCTGTGCCAGCACTGGGAGCACAGTGCTGCACATTGGTGTCCTCTGCAGCAGCTGGGGGCTCCAGGGGAGGGGGTGGCTCCTGGTAGGCACAGAACCTGGGGGTCCAGCTGGGGCTCAGGCTGGCACAAGGGCTTTAGCTGCTGGGCATATCTTCCAGAAAGCAATGAACTGCACTTTGGGCACCTGGGGACATGGTCAGTGGTGAACATGGTGGTAGTGCTGGGGGAACCCTTGCACTTGATCTCAGTGGTTTTTTACAACCTTAACACTCCTGTGCTTCTCTGATTCTGGTGCTTCACCAGGGGTTGTGTCCAGAGGAAGTGCTGGCATCCCTGTGTAAACAGGCAGCTGGAGCACTGCTTGTCCTCTTCTTTCTCTAATACCTGCACCCCCTCGCCTGAGCCATGTCTTTTCTACCAAGAGTTTGTGCTCTCATCTTCCTATGTTGTTTTGCTGCTTCTTTTCCAGGGTAAATTCACGCTGCTGCGGGACACTAGGACAGATGGCAGCTTCCTGGTGCACCACTTCCTCTCCTTCTACCTCAGAGGTGGGTCAGGAGCAGCTCTCTGAGGGAAGGGGACTTTTGAAGGTGGTGCTCTGTGAGCAGGGGCTAGTTCTGCAGAGTGTGAGGCATCCTTGGATTGACACAGAGCTTTGGGCTCAGGATTTATGGATTCCAGTCCTGACTTGCTCTTGGGACTCACTCTGTATCCTTGGATACATCCCATAATGTCTGTGCCTTGTTTCTTCACCCATCCTGGCCATGGTTTTAAATCACACACGAGGTGGTGACTGTGATTCCCTCTCTGCCTTTTGTTTTATAATGTAATTACACATATCAGGATCAGCGAACAACAGATAAGCTCTCAGTGAGTAAAGAAGCAAACAAAGGGCCTGGCACGTTGCCTAATTGCTTTTCTGGGAACAGTTTTCCCGGTGAGTAACCTCCCAGCCCCCGCAGAGCGGGCACTGGACTCAGGACTCCTCCAGCTTTCTGCCGGCACAGCCACCAGCCCAACAGATCTGGTACTGCAAGGGATCTCAGAGTGCTGGGCAGGTGGTGGGGTGAGGGCATCCTGCCCCCTGGAACTGCCACTTCCTCACCTGGGGCTTTTCCTCCTTTGAAATACTTTTCTACTTAATGGAAGGAGGGAAACTGCAGGAAAGCCCTGGAGAGCAGGTTCATGATGGTGTGAATGGTTCAAAAGGACCTGCCAGGCACTGCCTCGGGCTCTGCTCACACCCCCAGCATGGCTCTGCTGATGTGCTGAGCTGCAGCACTGCCCTGGGAGTCACAGGTCACCTGCAGCACTGCCCCGGGAGTCACAGCTCACCTGTAGCACTTCCCTGGGAGTCACTGCTGAGCTGCAGCACTGCCCTGGGAGTCACAGGTCACCTGCAGCACTGCCCCGGGAGTCACAGCTCACCTGTAGCACTTCCCTGGGAGTCACTGCTGAGCTGCAGCACTGCCCTGGGAGTCACAGCTCACCTGCAGCACTGCCCTGGGAGTCACTGCCTGGAGCTGCTCATCTGCCAGGGAAGAGCCTTCCATCCCTTGTGGCTGGGCAGCCTTGTGGGATGTTAATGTGTCTCAGGACAGGTGTGCTTGCTATCACCTGCCCATCTCCACTGCAGGACCTGTGTGCAGTATTCCCTGTCTGCACCATCCCCATGTTGTCCTCTTAGTGCGCAAAACCTTTGGGAGCTCCTGATGGGTTGGTGAAGGCTCAGCTGGGGCCACTGACTTGTTCCACTTGAAATCCATGTCCTGAGAAACACTGATTTTGTTCATACCCAAACCATCAGGCCAGGCTGTCACATGGTTTTCCAAAATCACGTTTTAGTGTTTTTAGCCAAACTTCCTTGTTCTGTGTGTTTTTCCAGCCAAGGTCACTCGCCCCATGAGAGCCAAAATGGGGATTTTGGCCACGTCAGTGGTTCCAGAGTCACGGTCGGCTGTTGGTGTCCTTGCAGTGACACCAGCAAACAGGTGCCAACCTGGCACCAGGCAGAAAAGGGACCTTCCACTTTTTTATGTCATCTTTTTCTTGTCCTTTCCCTCTGCGTTTAAGCTACCATTTCCCCTAATGCAGAAATCCTCTAGAAAGGTGAAAATCGAAAGCAAGGGAAGGTCTGCCTGTACCTGTCTCCCTTCAAGGTCCTTCCAGACAGATGTGTGGCCTGGCTGCAGTGATTTATGAGCACTGATAACAGCAAGTTTCAGAGAGGAGATGCTGACGTGTGTGTTTGTCCCTCCCCAGCTGGCTGTAAGGTTTGCTTTGTGGCCCTGCTCCAGTCCTTCAGTCACTACAACATCGTGGCCCAGAAGCTGGTGAGTCTCTTGGCATAGGTTCATAATCACACATCCAGGGAGTTTCTGTTGGGTGGGAAGGAATGGGGAACAGGAATTGTGTGTGGGCAAATGTTTCCAGGTCTGGGTGGGGACAGTCAGGATTTTAGACACTGGAATGTGCTGCCCAGGGAGGTGGTGGAGTCACCATCCCTGGAAGTGTCTAAGGAGAGACTGGACATGGCACTTACTGCCATGGTCTGGTTGACATGGTGGTGTTAGGTCACAGGTTGGACTTGAGGATTTCAGAGGTCTTTTCCAACCTAAATGATTCTGTGATTCTGTGATTGGTGCTCCTGTGGCAGGGGATGTAGAGCACTTCAGGGCAAAAACCTGGTTGTGAGGCTCACAGCAAGGCCCCCTGGGCTCTACCCCCAGAGAGCTGCAGGGCTGCTTGCTTACAAATGTTTTCTGGGGATCAGCATTCCCCAGACAGACCCAGACTGGTGGATGGAGTTTTCTTAATCCGCTGGGGATAAAAAAAGCCATGGTGTTGGTGTTCCCAGGGCCTCTGTACACCTGCAGGACAGCACAGGAGCTCCTGAGGTGACTCTGTCCCCCATCCTGTGGTTATGGTGTGATGAAAGGCTGAGTCATCTGCTCAGAAGGACACCTGTGTGCCTCTTGGCCTCTGGGCCAAGCATCAGTTTGAGCCACAAGTGTGTTCCCATGGATTTCTTTCCCATGGAGGCAAGGATTATGTGTACCCTGAAATGAGGAAACAGAGAGACAAAGTAGGCAGGGTCTTTCCCTGAATCAGCAAATCTGAGCTCCAAACTGCATCTCTCAGCTCTTTTTACCATGATCAGAGGTGCAACCAGGTGGGAAGCCCAGGTGACCTTCCAGGGCCAAAGGGATGAGGGCAACATTGGTCCTTCCTCTCCTGGTTTTTCTGGGAATCCCAGCAGTGCTGCTGCTCATAAAGGCTTCCAGGGGTTGAGGAACCAGATGTTCCAGGTATTGAGGATCCAGGTGTTCCAGGTGTTGAGGATCCAGGGGTTGCAGCCACGGCATGGGCTGAGTTTGGTGCTGCTAAACAACTGTATTTTATTTGCTGCTCAGTTTTTACCTTTTAAAAGGAGACCAGTGCTCTGAGGTGAATGAAACGGGCTGAGCAAACACAGCATTTCCCCGTGGAGCTGTAACTCACAGGTAGATCACACTGGATGTGTGATTCCCCTGCAGAGCAGATCCCCGTGGCCAAGCAAACCAGCCCCAGTACAGAGCCATCCCGACCTCTGCGGGGCAGAGAGGAGGAAATCTTGTGGGGATTTGCTGAGTGGGGCAGGAAATGAAGTGCAGCATCCATTGTGGGAGATTCAGCTGTTAAGTGCTGCTCCTTGCCTGCCCCCATAGCAGGATTGTGTTTGCCAGTGCATTTCCTAATGCAGAGAGATTTCCAGTGTGGAGTTGATAGGAGCTGCTGTCATCTCCCTGGTGAGAGAGGCTGAGGTGGGAGAGAACATGAGGATTAGCTGGAGCACATGTGGAATGCAAATGGGGATGATTTGCTGTCTGATACCTTCACTAAAAGGTGAAGGTGATAAGGGAGGTGACAAGAACAGCACGGATTGCCCAGGGAGGGCTCAGAGAAGTGCTGAGCTGGTTCCAGCTCTGAGTCACTCCAGTCACTGGGTAACTCACAGGTGCCTCTGTGGTCGTTGGGAATTCTTCCCAAGCTCAGAGGAGCTGGAGGTCATAACATCAGTTATTTATATCTGAGTTTCTATCACATCTTGTCTTTGCTTTAATCCTGCTTGACCCAGATGAACATGTCAGGCTCAGCAAAGGTGGTTCTTGGCAGGTAGTTTCACTCTGAGATTTGCTTAAGAACTCGGTGCTGTAGATCTGTGCAGGACACCCGCTGGGCTGTTGCCTCCTGCTGCAGCAAACTCCTATTCCAGTGGTGCCTGAGCTGTGCCATGCTGCAGGGAGGGGAGTTTACACTCTGCCAAACCACCAGCTCCTCCTTTCCCATCTCCTCTTCCTTGCTGTTGAGCTCTAGACCAGCCTGGCTTTCCATGTTGGCCAGGATAGTTGCAAGGATCAGGCTGTAGTCTCTTCAGGAGCTGCTTGGAAGAATCTGACCAGTGGGCACATGCCTGTGTTGTGTCATCCCATCCGCAAGTTAAGTCTCCCATGAATTCGCATTCCTAGCAGATTATGCTGACCAGCAGCCAGCTGGACATGAGCCCACTGTGCCCAGGTGGACAAGAAGGCAAATGGCACCTGGTTTGTATCAGCCCCAGGGCAGTGCCTGTTCCTGTGCTGGCACTGCTGAGGCACCTCCAGTCCTGGGGCAGTTCTGGGTCTCAGGTCAAGAAGGACATTGAGGAGCTGGAGCGTGTCTAGGGAAGGGAATGGAGCTGGGGAAGGGTCTGGAGCACCAGGAAGGGCTGAGGGAGCTGGGGGGCCTCAGCCTGAAGAAAAGGAGTCTCAGGGTGACCTTCTAGCTCTCTCTAACTGCCTGACAGGAGGTGCAGCCAGGTGGGGGTTCAGGCTCTGCTCCCAGGAACAAGGGACAGGATGAGAGGAAACAGCCTCAAGCTGTGCCAGGGGAGGTTCAGGGTGGATATTGGGGAAATTTCTTTATGGAAAAGGGCTGTCCAGCCCTGGCACAGACTGCCCAGGGCAGGGGTGGAGTCACCACCCGGGAGGTATTTAACAGCCATTGGATGTGGCACTTGGGGACATGGCTAGTGGTGGCCTTGGCAGTGCTGGAGGAATGGTTGGACTCAATGGTCTGGGTTGGCTTTTCCAACCTCATTGATCCTGTGATTATGCCCTTAGGAAAGACTGCACTTGGAAGAGCTTCAGAACTGAGCAATGCACCTGTTTCTGCTGGGAACAGGATGGTCCTAGGCCCAGGAGGAGGTCCTAGAGCCAGGGTGGGTTATACAGTGCTTACAGTGATGCTTTGTGGATCTGGTCCTTGTAGTCCCTGATGGGTGATGATACCTTGAACATCTACACACAGCTGAAGTGATGTTTCTATGTATGTGCTGCTTTCCCAGTATGCCATGTGTTCCCAGTCTCAAACCAGTTCCTTAAGTAAATGCAGGGATGCATTTCTACATGCAGGAAAAAGATTCCCTGCCTTTTTGTGGCCCTGTCCTCTTTTCCTGAGGATTTGCACTTACTTTTAAGGGACAATCGATATTATCTTCATGACCTTGCAGAGAACATGTAGCAGGTCAGCAGCACCAGGGCATCTTGCCAGGTTGATGTTCCCACCCGTGTTTGTACCAAGTTTGTTTTGTTGTAAAGGAAAAACAGCTTTGTCCTCATTTGGTCTCCCTCTGGCCTGTCCCCTGTCCCCTGTGAGCTCACAGCCCAGAGGACATGGCCTGGCCTGATCCTTGATGGCCACATTTTGCACCACAGCTGTGTTTGCTGATCGAGCTCATTCCCACTGCCTCACACTCCATTCCTTGTTTCCTTCTCCAAATATTTTGCTTTCCCTATGGGATGACCAGTAGTGAGTGGCAGTTGTGGTGTGAAGGGACGTCAGTGCTGGCAGGCTGGTGGGCACCATGTTCCAGGCAGCTTCCCAGATGGACAGGAACAGTCAGGCTGCTGTTGCAGCAGCGTTCCAGGGCTGGATCAATAGCTGACAGCCTGCCAGAGATAATGTCCCAGTGCTCCAGCAGTAATGGAGCAGGATGCAGGGAAATAATGGAAGCCTTCAGGGGTGTTTGGGTGCTCAGGAGTGCTGTGGCTCCGTGGCAAGGATCTGTGTCCTGGCTGTGCAGGCAGGAAGATGCCGTTGGCATTTTGATCACTTTCCCACTGTTTCTGAGCTGTCCTGTGCTGCATCCAGAGGTTGCACTGGGTGGGATGCTAGCTGGAAGACAGGCAGAGGTTTGCTGTGAAAGGTGACTGCAGGGGGTGAGTCCTGGTCTCTCTGGGGCCTGGTTCTCCAGGTGGAAAATGAGGCTGGAATTGCTGGGCCCATGTCATAGCCCAAAGGGATAGAATTCCTGTTCTGACACACAGGCACACTGTCCCTGGCTGCTGTGGCCCTTTGTCACCCAGGCAGGCCTTGGTGTCACAGCACTAACTCCTCTCTGAAGAGGGGACAGTTTTCTTGCAGATCTGAGGTGCAGAGAGTTTGTGTGTGCAGAAAGAAGTAGCTGAAGCAAAGGTAAAATCAGCTGCTGAATTATGGATATTAGTAGTGAATTTAGTCACTGCATTTCAGCAGGTGCCCAGTCCTGTGGGCTCCAGTATCCCTGAGGGAATGAGGTATGTTAGGCTGCTGTGCAGCCCTGCCCTGCTTTATGGCACAGCAGGTATTTTCCAGCCATTCTCCTCTCCTCACCTGCCACATAAAGCTTCTTCTGTCCTTGGTTAGGAACTTTTCCACCATGTGTGCTTAGAATTGCCCAATAATGCTGATATTTCTGAAGTTATTACTTGGAAGAGCTGTTGAAAAAGATCTATTGCTTTATAGAGGGAGTTAGAAGAAGAAAAAAATCATTCAGGCACACATTTCTTCCCAGCTGAGCAGAAGGAAAATAGAGTAAACATTCTCCTCAGGTAGCAGGATTCACTGGATTGGGAGTCTGAGCAGTTTCCATTCAAAACAGGAAAGATGCCAGGGACAGGAATTTTGTCAGAGCTCCGATTATTCTTAATATCAAGGTACACAGTGATAGTGCTGTAAAACTGAGCCTGGGAAGATAATCATAGAGGAGTTTGGGTTGGAAGGGTCCTGAAAATGTCACCTAGTACAACCCCCAAGTGCATAATTTTACTGTATGTGATCAGGGAATCATGGAATCATTGAGGTTGGACAAGCCCTCTGAGATCATGGAGACCAAGTGCTCCCCCAAGCACTGCCAAGGCCACCACTAACCATGTTCCCAAGTGCAACATCCACGTGGCTGTTAAATCCCTCCAGGGATGGGGACTCCACCACTGCCCTGGGCACCCTGTGCCAGGGCTGGACAGCCCTTTTGGGGAAGAAGGAGAAATGGCTTCCCACTGCCAGAGGGCAGGGTGAGATGGGATATTGGGAAGGAGTTCTTGGCTGTGAGGGTGGTTAGGCACTGGCACAGGTTGCGCAGAGCAGTTGTGTCTGCCCCATCCCTGGAAGTGTTCCAGGCTATGGTTGGAGCAACCTGGTCTAGTGGAAGGTGTCCCTGCCCATGGCAGGGGGCAGAACGAGATGGGCTTTAAGGTCCCTTCCAACCTAAACCTTTCTGGGATTCTGTGCTCTCCAGCTGGAGTCTTCTTCAGGTGTGCTGCAGCTTTGGGATGCCTCTGTTGCAGCTGGACATGCTCAGCACATGGCTCTCCAGGTCATCCTCATCACCATGCAGGGCTGAGAGCCTGCTGGAGTTTGAGTTGTGGCCCCAGGCAGCTTGTCCTGGTCCCTCCTTCTTCTCCAAGTGAAGTCAGGGCTGAGGCTGCTTCCCGTGGGAGAGCCTGGGCCATGTTGCTTTCTCCCAGGTGTTGTGCAAGCCCTTGGGATGCCCAGCCCACACATTCTCTAGAACCAGGCTGTTCCTGGCTCAGCTGTGCGAGCTGTGCCAGGGAGTCATTGCCACAGGATGATTTGGAGATGGTGGAAACCAAAAGCTTTCACCACCCAAGGAGAGAGGGTGAAAGAATTGTTCACAGCAGGTCTTTGGAGAAGCCTGAACCATCTTCTCTCTGCCTTTGGAGAAGCAGCTGGTTTTCTCTCAGGGGGAATCCAGGATGTTTAAGCCCCCAAATCACAATGGGTTTTTTAATCACCTGGCAAAAAAGAGGAGAGCAAATGTGCCACCAGTGTTACAAAACCACTGATTTGCCCCTGAAGCACTGAGTTTATAAGCACATTTAGATAAGGTTTGATAAAATTAATCTGTTTTCACCACTTCTCCAGAGCCGTTCACTCTGAAACCTAATGTTTTCCTTTCTCCAGGGAGTCAGTCTGACAGCTGCCAAGGAACAGGGACAGCTTGTCTTCCTCGAAGGCCTCAAGTCCTGCCTTGATCTCTTGTTTGGGGAGGAGGAGGAGCAGCCAGGACAGCCCAGTCCTCTTGGGATACTGAGGTGAGCCTGAGTGGGTGGGCAGTGGTTCTGCTGTGGTCCAGCACAGAGCATTCCCCCGTTGTGTGTGCTGCTATCACAGCCAGCACTGAGAGCACCACTGAGGTCCAGGCTGAGCCCTGGTGCCCTTTGGGCTCCCCTCCAAGGCCCAAGGACTCAGAGCTGGAGTATTTCCCTTCACTGAGTGAAGGTAACACCACAGTGCCAAGCACATCGTGATGCTTGTCCTGGCCTGTCCCTCCCTGCTGCTCAGAGAAGGATTCTGTCCCCCATATCTGCGTTTTAGGGGAATTTCTGCCTCCATCCTCATTGCCAAGCATGTTGTAGGCCTAGACAAGAATTTATTTCAGTAGTCCACAGGTTTGTGTCAAGCAACTCCAGCCAAGTGGGTTTATTTCTTTAGTTTCATTATCCTGAGTTTTATTCTTATCCAAGAGAACAGTACTGCTTTATCCATGCTGGCTTTTGGGTTTATTCCCACTTCACTTTCTCCATGTCCCTTGGGAAACTCAGCAAAGGCAAAACACTTCCCTGGAAGTGTGTAAGGCCAAGTTGGATGGGGCTTGAAGCAACCTGGGCTAGTGGAAGGTGTCCCTGCCCATGGCAGGGGGTGGAAGTGGCTTTAAGGTCCCTTCCAACCCAAACCATTCCATGATCCCTGAAGCAGGGCAGGAGGATTTCACCACACACAGGTGAGTAAAGGAGCAGTGAGTGAAGGGCAGTGCAGTGGTGGTGACTGTCCCAGCAGTGGGGACAGCAGGGAGGGTGCAGGCTGGGTCAGTGGGTGAGGAGAGGCACGCGTGATACATATGCTGGCCAAGCCCTTGATGCCTCCGTCATCTCTTGCAGTGGGAGCACCTCTGACCTCAGAGCCCTGTTTGACTTTGTCTGTGTGTCCCTGACTCCTGCTGACAGTGATCCCTGGAAGGGCCCTGTGCTGCTGGTGGATGACCTCAGTGTCCTGCTGAGCCTGGGGGCCTCACCGGTGGCTGTGCTGGACTTCATCCACTACTGCCGTGTGGTCGTGTGCTCCCAGCAAAAGGTACTGCTCCTCCTGTGTCTGGGGACACAGAAAGCCTCCAGAGCAAGGCCTGGATGTATTTTCTCTTTCCACCTGACCATGATGAGGTTTGGGAATGCTTTGGCTGTCCAAGATCATTGCCCCGGGGCCACTCTCCAGAGCTATGTGAGTCTCTGCAGTGCCTATGCGCCTGGATTCCCAGGAGGTGCTTCTCAGAGAAGGGCTCTGTGTCCCTGATGTATGAACAGGGATTTGAGGTGCAAAATAGGGTTTCTTAGACCTCCTCTCTCCAGAGATCCCAACTCACACCTGTGTGTGTGTGAGGGGGAGGGCAGGGGTGGAAACAGGTTATGTGAGAGGCTGGTGAGTCTCACGAGGGACAGAAATTAAGGTCTCCTTGGAGAACACCTGAATCTCTACTCCCACCAACCTCTGGCTAGTTTCCAAGGGTGTGTGATGATCTGCAGAGATCTCGTGCTAACTCTTGAGAGCACCCGCAGCCAGAAATGGTTACAGTCACAGCCAAACCCATCCCAGCTTCCCCCATCCTGCCACTTCTCAGCTGGAGTGAGGAATGAAACTGATGGTCTTGGGTGTTGTCATCCTGCACTTCACACAGCACTGGGGTGTTTGGGCTGTACGTGCTGACAAGGGATGTTCAGCTTGCTGGGAGTATTTACCTCCAAAGCAGCTAAAAAAGGTGATAAACCAGACTAACACTTTTCTATTTCTGTCTGAGATGTTCTGAAGCATTGAAGTACATTTTAATTGATTGAGAATTTCGTGTTATTTTAAGTCCTTGGTGACCTGAGACTGAGACTCTGGGGATGGATTTTAATAGAGTAGGTGTGTTTGAGCTCTTTGCTCCTTGTCAGAGCTGTGAGAGTGTTAGCACTGCTGTGTCCCTTTGGCCACCTCCTTATTTACCTGCTCTGAATTCTGGCAGTGCCATCTGCCCAGCCTGACAGACTGGTTTAACCAGGCACTGTCTCGAAACAAAGGTTTGAGGTATTTTTAGGCTGTACATTACATCAGTGTGTGAGCGTGTGTGTGTGTGTGTGTGTGTGTGCGCATGTGCCTGTGTGTGCATGTGCGTGTGTGTGTGTGCGTGTGTGTACACACAATGTACACACAGCGCTTCTGGAGTCTATATATCATGGAATGGCCTGGGCTGGAAGGGACTTCAAAGCTCATCCAGTCCTACTCCCTGCCATGGGCAGGGACACCTTCTACTGGTCCAGGTTGCTCCAAGCCCCATGCAAGCTGGCCTTGAACACTTCCAGGGATGGGGCAGACACAGCTTCTCTGGACAACTTGTGCCAGTGCCTCACCACTCTCGCAGCCAAGATAATCCCAATATCCCATCTCTCCCTGCCCTCTGGCAGTGGGAAGCCATTCCCCCTTGTCCTGTCCCTCCAGTTCCTTCTCCAAAGTCCCTCTGCAGCTCTCTTGGAGCCCCTTGAGGCACTGGAAGGGGCTCTAAGGTATCCCCAGAGCCTTCTCTTCTCCAGGCTGGACACCCTCAGCTCTCCCAGCTTGTCTCCATGGCAGGGGGGCTCCAGCCCTTGGTGCATTTTTGTGCCTTCCTCTGGACTCTCTGCTGCAGCTCCACATCCTTGTGCTGTTGGTGCCCCAGAGCTGGAGGCAGCACTGCAGGTGGGTCTCACCTGAGCAGAGCAGAGGGGCACAGTCCTCCCTCACCTCCTGCTGGGGATGAGCCCAGCACACAGCGGGTTCTGGGATGGGGTATGTCCAGCCTCTCACCCACCACAGCTGCTAGTAATTTTCCCAGTGGAATTCAGCTCAACCCATGCTGGGAGATGCCTGAGTAGCTTAGCTGGGACCTTTGTGCAAGCTCCTGTACCATCTGCCCTTCCTTCCCCTGGGGGATTAGGCTCATCCCTGCATGCTGCTCCCATTGCAGGGGAACATCGTGGTGCTGGTTCACAGCAACGAGGACTCAGAAGATGAGGAGAACGAGCTGGTTGTGAACTCCCTGTGTCATCACAGTGACCTGATCCTGTGGGCTGAGGGGTTGGCCACTGGGTTCTGCAAGGATGTCCATGGACAGGTGAGGCATGGGGAGGTGGCACATGTCCCTGTTACCTGCAGCACTGCATGCAGGCCCCAGGGCTGTGGGACATGGCCCAGGGCTAGCCCAGGCTGCAGTGTGGCTAAGGACTAATCATGTGGGGACCAGGATCTGCTGGAGCATTCAGACTCCTATGGCTGTGACTCTGGTCCTGCAGGGATATTTGGGGACATGCTGGTGGACTCTCCCACCTCTGGAAGTTTCCAGAGTTCATACTGCTGCTGCAGTGCAGGTTTCTCCCACCCCAAGGTAATGGCAGGGAAAAATACCAATTTTCTGGGAACTTTCCCCAAATAATGGATCTGAACCCGGTCTGTGGTGATCTCCTCAGGGCTGAGAGAGTGCTGGGGCTTGTGTGATCCTTCCGCAGGGGCTGCCACCAAAGGGCAGTGACAGGGGACTGTGTGATGGATTATCCATCAGTGATCCCCTTCCAGCCAGAGGCATGGGGGGTGAGGATGCTCTGGGCAGCCAAAGCAATGACATTCCTGTTTGTTTCCCTTTACAGATTAAGATAATCAGGAGAGTGTCCTTGCAGCAGGCAGCAGAGCAGGATCAGGTGCAGATCTACCAGTACAAGATCCAGGACCGGAATGTCACCTTCTTCGCGAGAGGGCTGTCAGCTGCAGTCCTGTGACACTGCCACACTGGCCTGCAGTGATTCTGTCCCTCTGCTCTTGTGAGACCCACCTGGAGTACTGTGCACAGTTCTGGTGTGCCCAACATAAGGACATGGAACTGTTGGAGCAAGTCCAACAGTATCACAAAGCTGATAAGAGAACTGGAGCACCTTCCCTATGAGGACATGCTGAGAAAGTTGGGGCTGTTCAGCCTGGAGAAGAGAAGGTTGTGTGGAAACCTCATAGCAACTTTCCAGGATCTGAAGGGGGTACAGGGAAGCTGGAGAGGTTAGAAAGTTGGTTAGAAACTGATAGGACAAGGAATAATGGATACAAACTGAAAGAGGGAAATTTAGATTAGCTATTAGGAAGAAGTTTTTTCCTGTGAGGGTGGTGAGACACTGACACAGGTTGCCTAGGGACGTTGTGGCTGCCCCAACCCTGGCAGTGGTCATTCCAGATTGGATATAGCCTTGATCAACCTAGTCTGGTGGGAGGTGTCCCTGCCCAGGGCTAGATTGATCTCTATGGTCCATTCCAACCCCTGAACATGCTATGAGTCTATGGTTCTATGAGGGGACAATAGTCCCTTCCACCACCCCAGCCTGGCAGCTCCACAAGCAACTCCCAGGAGCAGCACAGCCAACTGACCCAGGAAGGCAGCTCAGACACACCTGGAAGCAGCGCCAGCACAGGGATTAGCCTGCCCAGTGCCTGCCACATCCCTTTTTCTTCTTACCCTGCTCCCAACACGCTCTGGCCAAGAAGAGGAGCAAAAACTTGCAGGAATGGCCCTCAGAGCATGTAAATACAAGCAGGGGGGATGCCCTGTGGGCTGGGTGTGCCATGCCTCACCTTTTCCAGTGTATTCCAGCACGGAATGGCAGTGCCAGGCGCTCTGGAGGGAGCTCCCGCCCTCCCCTCCCACTAGCAGCGCTGGAGACGACACAGAGCGGGTGGAGCAGGGATGGTCTCAGTCTGGTGCAATCCTCTCTTTGCTCCCAGCTCTCCTGGGAGAGGTTGCATCAGCTCTCAGCTTCCACACAGTTAATAAATCCGTATCTCTGTTTGTAGCTCCTGACCTGGTTGCAGTGGGACCTGGATGCTGCCTTGGTTGGTTGATCCCTTGCAGCTTCCCAAGCCCATCCTTGGTTTTGTGGGATAGATGGACCCTTATCCATGAGCCTCTGTCGCAGTCCCCATCCCAAATCCTGACTAGCAGTTGCATGACCTGAAGCATTTTTCTGGATAATAATCCCTAATCTTAACAAGATAAAGGTGCAGTGATTGAGCAACTGTGGATCTTGGGGTGGGAACTGCTCCCCACTGGCTCCTTGGCAGGGGAGAGGAGTGGGCATATTTCAAACCTGGAGAGGGCCGTGGGTCCCCTCCCTCCCCATGGACACGTGAGCAGTCCTGGGAGCAGAGCTCAGACCAGAGTGTCTCCGGTAGATGCTCCAGCTGGGATCTCTCATTTATCCTGGGAGATAACATCCCACACACTTGTGAGAGACCAGAGTGACCTACCAGGCCCTTGCAGCTCCAGTGCTGGGGTAACAACTCCAGCATTGGGACACATTCCTGCCTTTTCTGTGCAGATTTGGTGATCCATCCTGCTGCAGGTTTGGGAATGTTCCTTTGGTTTGAGTTTGGGAATGCTGAGAGCCATGGCTGCTGGTCAATGGCAGCTCCAGGGATTGTGGCAAGTGCCAGGGAACTCAGGTGGGGAATGAGGCCCCATGTGTGCTATAGGATCATTCCCTGGGGTTTTCTGTACTCTGCCATGGAAATGGCAGTGCCCAGTGCCATGGCTGCCTGGTGGCAGTGCCCAGAGGATAATGTGCCATCACAACTTGGAAAGGGAGGATGAGACCCCCCAGAGTTCTGGGGAAAGGAGGTGTAAAATGCATCTGTGATGGGACAGAATGATGAATGATTGGAGTAACATCCATATGATTACTCTTGGGGAGATCTCAAAACCTCCCATCTCCAAGGCTCTTTCTCCCTCCTCTGAAAGTAGCAGGGTGACTGTGTGACATTGCTGCTGGCATGTGCCTGATTCGTTCTGTGCTGGACCAGTGCCATCCCAGAAACCAGGCTGGGAGCCTCATCCTGATCCTTCCATGTCCCCAGGATGGAGGACATGGATCCCTCCATCTGCCAGGCCCTTTCAAGCAAGGCACTGTCTGCCTGCACCATGCAGCAGTGGGAGCTTGGACATGAAGATTCCTCTTGGAAAAGGGAATTGAAACCTGTGGTGGCTCCTGAGTTACAGCAAGGACCAAGTCCAGCGTTCCCAGCATCCCTGCTGCGCGTCCAGCAGTGGCCTTGGCCATCAGGATGAGAACATGGAGGCCAATCCAGCAGCTGTGCTGAGCCAAGGCCACCAGCATGGCCATGACCGAGCTGAGGCCTCGCTCCGGAGCTGATGCTGGGGGAGGGCAGCTGGAGATACTGGGAACCATGCCGTGGATGGCAGGACAAAGTGGCCTTGCCCAGGGCCATCTCCATGGGCTCTAGAGCTTGGGGAATGCCAGAAGTCCAGTGGGTCTTGGCTCTCTGTTCCCTCTGCCTTGGTGGGAGCAGCCTGGAGCCTTGGGAAAGCCCCACCAAGGTGGTTGTGAGACACACGTGCAGGTCACCGGGAGAGGGGGATGTGATGGAATTGGGCAGGGCAGCCAGCAGCAGGGAGCACTGGAAAGTGTTGGAGCCCAATAGCTGCAGAAAGGGCCCTGGAAAGGTTGTTTTGGGGGGATGTTCAGTCCCTGAGGATGTTTCCCAGTGTCCCACCCCATGTCAGCACTGCGGTGGCAGGACAACGGGGACATTACTGGGCGAGAAGATCCCTTGTCCTCTGGACACCTGTCCCTTCCCCACGGCATGTCCCCTGCCCCTTGCCCTTCCATGCTGACAGCCTGCCACGTGCCACCATCCCCTCCATGCCCAGCGCTCCCAGTGTCCATCCCGCTCCTGTTCCTGGAGGATCTGAGTCACTTCTGTCCCCCG